TGTGCACGATCCAGACGCGGAAGTCTGGCTGCAGCATAGACGATGTTGTGCAGCGATAGACGAACGATTGAGTGGCCGATAGGACGCAGATGTTGGTGCGCGATAACGACGTTGTTGGTGCATGCATAGACACGACGTGTTGGTGCACTGCGATAGATCGACGTACGTTGGTGCAGCGATAGACGACGGTTTGGTGGCAGCGATAACAGAGGGCGTCATAGACGATGGTTGGTGCAGCGATAGACTACCGTATGTTAGTGCAGCGATAGACGAGACTGTTGCGATGCAGCGATAGACGACGACGTTGTTGGTGCAGCGAATAGACGACGTTGTTGGATGCAGCGATAGACGAAGTGCTTGGTGCAGTGATAGCGACGTTGTTGGGCAGGAGCGATAGACGAGTTGTTGGTGAGCGAAAAGCGACGACTTTGTTGGTGGCAGCGATAGACGACGACGTGTGCAGGTAGACTGATCTTGCAGCGATAGACGACGTTGTTGGTGCAGCGATAGACGACTTGTTGTGCAGCGATAAGACACGTTGTGTGGCGATAGACGACGACGTTGGTGCAGCGATAGACGGCGATGTTAGTGCAGCGATAGACGACGTTGTTAGTGCAGCGATAGACGACGATGTTGGTGCAGCGATAGAAGACGACGTTGGTGCAGCGATAGACGACGTTGTTGGTGCAGCGATATACGATGACGTTGGTGCAGCGATAGATGACGACGTTGGTGCAGCGACCAATAAAAAGCGACACAGGCGATACCTCGAAAAGGACTTTGAATGTACTGCCATTCGGCGACAGTTTCCGGCGTTTTTTTCGGCTTAGCCGAAGGTTTGTGTGGTAGTTGTTATGTTGCATTTCGCACTCATTTCGCGTGTTACTGCTATGTGTACGTCGCTGGTGTGGGTTCGCGTCGGACCTTAGTCAACTACCAAATCGGATTTTGTTACACTACGGCATCCGAATATCAGAGGTAAGTGCTCGTCGTCTCTGTCCTATAGTGAGGACGTGTATAGCTAACTACTTGAAAGTTGCCGATGCTTCGTTGGTTTGAAAGGCTTGATAGGTTTCGTTATACGAAAGCTGTCTCAAGCATTGAGTGAAGGACTCGATATCATGTTCCTTCTTCAGCACTTTTAACCGTTTTCAAAACGGAGGGTGTGCTATGAGCCGTGGAACATTGTTCTGTTCTAGCTCAAGTGTATCCTTGTACGTCTGTGCTGTGGTCCTCCACGTTGCCGCAGCGTAGGTGGCCACAGATTAACAATACGTTGAATAGAGTGCCCAGCAAAGTTTCAAGGGGAGTGAAGATTCCCTCAAAAGAGATTGTAAGAGTCCAATTATTTGCGGTAATTTTGATCGAATTCACCTGACATGTAAATGCCAGCGCATCCCTCGATCAAATGTGGCGCTTAAATAAGTTGCCTTAGGCGCCCATTCCCGTTGTTGGGTCCCAAGTGTAATTTGTTTGGTGGCGTAAAACGTTTAGTGAATTTGTGTTTGCGGAGGGATTAACAGATTGCCTGTAACTTTTCCGCTGAGAAAGTCACGTGGTTTCGTTCCGCCCACCAATGTTTGCCAATGCTGCATTGACCTGTGTAAATGAAGCAACAGAACGTGAAGGTCGACTCTCTTCCACCAGGTGCGCACGAGCGCCACCCGCCCCTCACGAGCCGGAGCCGGTGGAGATCGCTCAGACTCTCTAACCGGAATGTATTATGTTCGAGTCCCGACGTGGGCAGGGATTTCAACACTACCTTGTCAGCGAGGTCGAATTAAGTTGCCGTCTGGAGGAGAATTCTAGCGGCCGGCTGCTCTGATGGCAGTTTTCCGTCGTTTCTCCGATCAAAACCAGACGACTCCCGGAGCAGTACCTTAACAAACAGGCCACGGATCGCGCGCGATCTTTCCTACCATTTCCTTGTTCTATCCTCACACACTTACACTTGCATGCACTACACTACTACACATGCCTGGAGGTCGGCCAAAAACATTCGGGAGTATGTCCCGGCTGGGGCAATGCCTTTCTGGTGGGAGACAACTGGTCGGGGGAAAAAACCGCTAGCCGACGGTAGGTTGACGCCGGATCTCGACATTCAGCGAGGGATGATCACCACATACAGCAAAAACCATGCACTACACTTACGGAACTAAGTAGTTGACGCTCCCGCAATCACCAACAATCGAGTCCGGTGCGTTACGCCGACCCGACCGCAACGAGTACCTACTTCAAGCCGACGCCCCTAGATCAGTTGACCAGCGGTGGTAAACTGGTGTGGCAGACGGCTAAGATGTCTCTAAGAGCCTTTTTAGTGTAGAAGATTCTTAGCTCTGTCAAAGCCGCGCATGGCTTCTAAAGATAAAGATAAGTTCAATTTATCGCAAATGGTGATCAATAGCGTCTCTAAAGGGCATTGTAATTTATATTTTTAGTTATAAGGTTTAGTTTTAATTAAACGTTTCCTTTTAAAATTTTCTCTGGAGTACGTTCTTTTGAGATACACTCGAATTGTTCCCTGCTCAAGTAGCTTCCTGTTGGCGCTCAATGATTACCCAATAGAACGACAACCAAAATAACAGAAAAGCTACGAAGAGACAGGTAAGTTGCAGCGAGATAGGCAGTCGATGCTACAAAGCCCAGATGGTCGGTGCAACCAAAATGGCTGCACGTCACAATACTGAAAAGATAAAAGTAACGAGAAACTCTGTGTCATTCTTAAACACCATTACATTTCATAGCTCTCTCACGTCGTTAGAATTTATATAATAGCCGATTTGTAACCATTAAATTTTTTAGAATGACAAATCAAAAGATGATGAAGACTTGAAAGTATGTTTCATAAAGTTTCTGAAAAAATCAACGAGTTTTGTTGAAATGAGCTCAAATTTCCGCATTTTCAGAAATGCTCACACGACATTTTTTTGATAGCAGCTTTTAATGTTTTCTTTAATTTCTTAGTGCGAATATTACTAAATGGAGTGAATAATGCGACATAAATGCCACTTTGATGTACTCTCTTTTTTAACATTCATTTAAAGCATCTTTTTAACTGCAACGTCCATGTCCGAGTCGGGGTTCGAGTCCGCTGTGATGTGCTACTCTCTTTGCGCCGTGGTATGAGGGCTCCTCGCACACCACCTTTCAAATTAAGGCAGCCACGGCCGGAGCTTCAGCCTTAGTGATCCTGTCTATGCAGGAGGCGACGTATTTTTTTAAATTAAAAATACTCTCTAATGTGAATATTTACATTGCGTTATTTCTTATAGGCTAATTCTAGGGGGAGGATTTTGATGACTTAAAACATTGTCAAAAGTGATCCATAAAATGTTCTCAAAAGGTTTTTAAATACCCCCAAAGCAAACAAAAATGACGTTAACATTTTTATCAAAACGATTTACGATAAACAACTCTAGGTGTTGGATGTGTTACTGATGTAATCTTCTTCCTTTCATTCAAATGTAGTCTAGCAAACGTTTGGTTTGGACCAAGCTATCCCAAAATGTGACGAACCGACAACGTCGCTGATAGCGGTCCCAGGATGTTTGTAGAGAACATTTGTTGTTTCTCATAAATATTATTTGAAGCAAGCCTCATTAAAATGATTTCAAAATCGATGAAACCAGCGAAAATCCTTCAAACATGACGTAAATATATTTAAAAAGACGTATTAGTCAATATCGAAGTATAATGCAACAAAATGTCATAAAAATTGGTCGTTTCTTTTGTCGTGACATAAAATTAACGTCTCTACTCAAAGGTGAAGTGAAAAAAATAACATTTCATTAAAATCAACCCCTTGAATATCTCATTTGGGAATATATGTGCTTCAAATGATTTTTTATGAAGTTTCACAAAAACTCGAAAGTTTCGGGTGAAAACGAGTACGAAAATGCATAATTTTACATACGCTCAAACACCATTTTCTTAAAAGATGCTCCAGTTTTATAATGAAAATGTACACATACATTTAAATATTTCACTTCTATAATATTTTTAAAGTCATATTTAAATTTCACTCTTATAGATCCGAAATATTTGAAAACCGTGAAAAAATGATTTGAGGCATCAATAAATGGCAGCTGAGAAGAGGTTGAGACAAAACCGAAAAAATACCACAGACTGAGTAAATAATGAATCTAACTAGTACGAAAAAATCTGCGCCATTCTCTGCCATCATTAGGTAACTTTTACTTATCGTAAGATCACTAAAAAGAGTAGTAGATGCTTTGGCGAAGAAACGGGTATGAATTATATAGAAATTGCTGCGTTTTTCACATACATTCCCTATCCCCAGTAAAATATATGGGCGAAATATTTTGGAATACTTAACTTCTCCAATATCTGTGTACATTGAAGCCTTCGTTTCCATGAATCTAATAACTGTGTACTTACTTCCCCATACAGTGATTCAGTAAGGGAGTCTTAAATTCTCTTTACTGTAAAAGTCAAAACGTCCTTATGCAAAATCGCGTTTTCTCAGAACAGTTTTAACGTACATAAAATAAACATCGAAAACAAACACGAGGCAGACAACTGCGCGAAGTATAATTACTCGGTAAACCGGTTTATAGCAGCGTATTCGAGAAAGGGAGTCCCGAGTGTTTATGTGCTGTGTCATTGATCCTCTTTGTAATGCAGTGTGTGGTTATTGCAATTCATTATATATTTCGGGGAATTTCTCTGCAAATACATTCAATGCTAATATATACGATTTCAAGGTACGAGATTTTGATCTTCGTGGCTTGTAAGACCTCGTGTCTACATGAAGCTTATTGCTCATTTAACCAAGGGCACGGATAGGTCGAGAATATCAGGAAGGCACCATCGTCCCAGAATTTTTTTTTCTTATTTTTGCTGTGCCAAAGCGAGTATAAAGGTGCGGACCTGCGCGAAATAAGCCAGTGTGAGACCGACGGGCTTCACTCAACCAACTGCCACCGGTTGTCTCTGAGAAGATGTTACGAGGAGTTGCAGTGCACGCCTGTGTTTCGCTGATGGCTGTGCTTCTTCTTGCAAGGACCTGCTCTACGTTGCCGTTGGCAAAGCATTCGCTGAATGATAAAGCAGTTGAAAATCGTTTTGCCGGTGACTTGCGTTTTGAACAGGCAGGGTCTTTCAGTTTCAGCCAATTGAAGCCATCAAATCTGGACAATGGTAATTATTTATTAGTTTTTGGATGATGTAGGTAATAATATTTATCTTCAGTTTCTTATTCAACGGCCCTCAAACTCTAATTAAAGTCAATTTCATATGAAGTCTTTTTCTTTTCAACAGACGCATTCATATTACATCTGACATTTTATTTTGATCTTCAATTGGTAATCTGCGATTTAAAAACCGTTCAGAATATTTTCTCCAAAATGTGTATTGAATGATCATTCTGGCCTAACTTGAGAGCCTCCGAATTTGAAGCATGTGTGTAAATTATGTAGGGTATTTTACATGAACCCGTAAATAATTTTTTAAAATTTTCTCAAAAATAGCCCTATTTTTTGTTTAATGTTTTATTCGGTTAATGCAAAACACGCATAGAAATTTATTCAGGACTCATTTTTGCTGAACTATCTGAATTTTAAAGATATAGCTTTTAGAAATAATATTGGATTAGTAAAAAAATGTTGTCTTTCTACTACTACAATATTGAGTATAAGATATTTTTTTCTTAATGAAAATCGTCTTCAAGAACACGTCATTAAATAATGTCATTACAGATCTTTAATTATATTAATAATTTTTGTTATATTAGGGTAAAATAAAGGCAATCATTGAACCTCAAAGAGTGAAGCAGACAATTACGACAACGTGTTTGGAGAACGTTTTTGGAGTATGCTAAAAGTAGTTCATTTATCAGAGTTTTGAAGGTCCAAATACAAATGTTTTTATGAATAATCAAATTTAAAAAACTTTGTAAACATCAAACAAAAATAGCAAATGTTTAGAACAAAACAGCGTAAATTTGTATGGCAAAAATATTACAGAATCAAAAACAATCAATTCCTTTTTTCAACAAACTTGTTTGCGCAACGCGTACTTTTTTAAAAAGATTAAATTGTCTCTCATTTAAAAAAAGACATGTTTATTGATATTTAACACTTTTTAATGATTGATAGCGATGATACTACATTGTAATACATAAATAGGTTTTCTTCCACTTTTTGGATGAGAAACATGTTACACCTCAACAGGAATACAAATACATAACCACATTGTAAATTCAAGTATCTTTAAGAGCGTTAAATATCAATAGATATCTCATTTCAGTAACACGATTGCCATGAAAATTCATTTTGAACAAACAGTCAACATTAATAATGTAAATTAATTGTGTTTGATTCATGTAGAATCCTTGAAAGATACAAACTACAAGCAATTTTCAAATTTTGAATTAATGAAGCCGGAAGTTGAAGTATTTGAGTTCGATTTTGAAAAATTTGAGCCTGAAGTTTATGCAATTTATAAAAAATATTTTTCCTAAAACATCACCATTTTATTAAAAAATGTTTTCCTCCTTGGTAGCAAAAATTGGTAAAAAAAAGCTGTTGAATTCCGCTTGAACTCTCTGTATTTTCGAATATTGCAAGTTTATTTTTTTACGAAATTTCGATCATTTGAAAACTGCAATATTGGTGCAAGATTTGTTTTGCTTTCTGAAATACTTACTTAAAAGTCAGAGCTTTAAATAAATTCACGTATTTTTGTTTTTGAAAATAAGAGCAATTTCGTGTAATTTTTGCTAATTTCGAAATTATATATTCGAATATCCCGCTCTTCGGTTGCTGGAATAGTTTAGGAATTATCACGTTGCTGTATAATAGGAAGGACGAGAAACGACAGTTCAAAATACTCAGAATAACTTATTATTGTTGGGCAGTGTTTCTGAATAAATAGAACGGAGTTGTGTTGTCGAATTTGTGTTGATACATGAGCTTCGAATGTATTACATTTTTGCGACGATCTAAAAATTTCAACTGCACGATTGACAATTAATAAGACTATTCCACAGATGAAATTACTACAAAAGCTGCTTAAAAATGGCCGTATTGCCCTTCAAGTTCACTCATGAGTGCCCCATTGTTGCTTTTATACATCGCTCCTTGAGAACGGTCGTCAGAGATTAAGTAATAAGAGAAAGCTATAAGGAAAAGAGATATTTTTTGTAGAGTACACCGCCTTGATTCTTGCACACCAGATGTATATAGTTCAACGGTATTTGTGTTAATTTCAGTGTGGAAAAACCCTAGTAATTACTGACTCTTTAAACTTCTTCAACAGGTCGTTCCCAACCCTACCCACTCGAAGAGAATGACGTTACCAACGTAGAAATGGCTCTTGAACTCGAGGTAGAAAGTGCCAGAAAGGAATTGGAACCCAGTGGCCGCCGTGAAAAAAGAGAACCACTGCGACGAACATATGAAGTCAACCCCCCTCTCCGAGAGCCAAAAACACCTCCCAAACGTCCAACAACTCGCCCACCCGCAACACACACAACTCGATCCCAGAAACGGCGCAGCCAGAATACATCAGGAAATGCTCGAGGAAGAAACGCATCTCGCCCCACCGGCACACCCTTGACCTCATCGACACCTGCAGGAACTCCTCGATCCCCGACATTGACCAACTGCGACCAACCATCGCCTGCGTCAGCAACGCAGGCCACGTCACCACAAAAAACGCCTAGTGTCCCGTGTCCCGTAACTCAGCTTCCCGGTTACCGTGGCGTGGCAGGTTAATAAAATACTAATTCCATTCTCCCATGCTATCCAAAACTGTCCTTTGAAAACCAGAGTTAGTTATATGATATATTACAAATAATAGAAATAAAAGGGTTAAGTCAAGGCTTAATGGGGTGAGTTAACAGCTAACGTCATCCAATTAGTAAAATAAACTCGTAATAACATGATTTTGGTGAAACTGTGACGTGTATGTATACAATACACCACAATGTTGTAACTGTTAATATTGGAGATGTACTGTTCACATTTATTTTATTGTTGCTCATTCAGAGATTGTGGCATTTCGGCAACAACTTCTGAAAATAATTTTCATAATATGTGCTGCTGAGAAGGAAAGTGGTGTAAATCTTCTACTTCTCATTTTACATGATAGGATATTTTGCGTTTCACCTCTCACCATCTTTCAGCAGCTCATATGTAAATTTCCGTTAAAAACTGACTTTTACTGAAAGTAAAAAATTTTTAAAATTGTTATCAGTTTTAAGCTAATTTAAGAAAATCATAATAATTATCTAGACGCGTTGTTTTAAAACAATTGATTCTCTGGTTCTCTAGTTGGGCAGTTGGCCAGTGAAAAATAATTAAGATGATGGTTTAGAAAAATATTATATTTTTCTTCTTCTCTGGAATTATCGAGATAATTTCTTGCTTAAATGTCAATTGCACCTACATTCAATAATTGCAGAGCTTGGGACAAAAAAATAGTCAACTGGCTATAAATCGTTTTTAGAGAAATAATAGTTGTCACTAAGAAATGGTTGTGTTGTTTTAAAATCCTACGCATTATTTCTTTTCAAAAAGCTTATTGTAGAAAAAGTGTTAGAGTATAGTTTGTACTCTGTGGGAGTATAAAGTAGGTGAAGGGCAATGAATTGTGGTGGGGGCGATGATAGTGATAATAATAATAATTTTGATAATGACAACAATGATTACAATAGTTTTTCATTTATTTCCCGTTCGACTTGAGTGCTTTCTGCTGGTCCGGATGGCCGAGAGCAGTAGTGCTATAGCGATCTCGGACCGAAGGATCACGGTTTCGAGTCCTGCCTCGAGCATGGTTGTATTGTGTTTGTCCTTTCACCCACTCATCATCATCATCATCATCATCATCATCATATCATGTCATCCCATAGTTAGCATACCGTTACTAGTAATAGTGGTCGCTAATGACCTAGAAGTTGATGCGACCAGAAATAACGGAAAAAAAATAATTCAACTTACGAACCTGTTAGATGGATACATGTTAAGTAATTGAAGAAAAAATAGTAATCAAAATTACTACTCTTTAAAGTAAGGCGTCAATTGATTTAATCTTAAGTATTTAATATTAATTGGTTGGACACCTGTTGATTTAATCATGTTCTTTAACCTTGAAAGTTCAATTAGTGGATACACCTATGTACTACACACAAAATCGGATAAGAATTTGAGATACAAGCGTCTATAAAATACACATGTCTAAATTCACCTAATAGAATATGTAACATTGCAAAAGTTTATTTCTGCCTATTGAAACAACTTTATTTATTTTATAGTTAAGTTTTATTGTGTTTTGAATTGGATTTTTTTCTTTTTCTACGACCCCTCTCAGCAGATCCCCTTTCCCTTAATCCCATAGGAGTTTTAAATGAATAGCCTCTTGTTTCCCATATTTTCAATTTAGGCGCACATTTCCTTCTTTCACATATTTCCTTTTCCTTAATTCATTAATAAATTTTACACCATATATTAACAAATTAATAAAATATATTTCGGTGTTCAATATATTAATCAAGTTCAATGTTTGAATTTTGTATCTTCAAAATATATTAATACTATGTAATGTCAGTTAGAAGTAGCACATAGTGTTACTGCTATATGCTATGTCAGCTGGAAGTACGTTTTGGAGGATTATAATTTCCATTCCAGAGATAATGTTGGAATAATTTAATTTGTATTTCGGAAGTTAACTCTAAGAGATGAATATGCTTTCATATTAAGGTTGAAAACGGCGCTGTGTACGAAGAACTGTAGGAAGAAAAACTGTTAGAAGAGAGGAATGCATAATAAATATAAATAAAAAGCGTTATGCGAATACTCAAAGTTTCGAAAAATTGTACATTACCTTCTTTCAAAATCTATCTTTAAAGAGCGGACGTTTTTAAGAGAAAAAATCTCTATCTTTAATATTTTAGATGAAGGAACATGCCGGGAAAAAATTGAATTTTTGCAATTTTCCAAAAATCAATACTTGCACCATTCTCTTAACGTCCGTCCGACTATCCAACAATAAAATTTATCTAAAATCGATTGAGCCGTTTTTTGAAAATTTTCCTGGGGCTTAATGAAAAGTACCTCCCAAAATTAAGATATCAATTTCACATTCAAGGTGTCTTGATATCAGCTAGATCGATAAGGAAATATCAATTTTGAAGAAAATCGGGTGCACGGTTTAGCCGCTAGTGTTGTTCACAAACGAACAGACAGAGATACGGACGGACAGACAGACGTTTTGCCGTCAATCGACTTTTCGGTTTCAAGGATCCACAAAACATGGATTCTGGCAACACCGCGTGTTAGGCGATTTTTTTGTAAATTTAGATACAGAATTTACTCACATTTTTGTTAGCATGGTCCTATAAGACGAGTTTTTCTTCTTTTTTCCTCTCAGAATTAAATAAATTTCTCTCTACCGCAGTATCAGTAGCGAGAACGTAATGTTTTATTTCGATACATTTCGATACATACAGTGTCATAACAAGATGTTGTGTTAAATTGCTTTCGGTTAAAGAAAGTAATGCTATTTTTTTAATCTGACCATTATTAGCTAATTTTTCCTTCAGAAAACGATATGACAATATTTAAAATAATATTTAAAGAAACAGTGCATTGAATATTTCGTTTTTAAACAATATACAGTGACAATATGAATAGTGTAGAGAACATATATTCGTATACTTGCTTACATATATATTCTAAGTTTTAGAGCGAGTCATCTATTCAGTCCTCTTTATTATTTTTTATTGTAAAGTAAATTTCAGTCTTCTTAGGTTTACTAACCCTTATTTATATTTTTATCAAATTGATTTTCTTCGCATTTTGATGGTACAAGGCCTTGAGCAACGTTTCTTTACTAAGCACTACATATTTATTACTTAAAAAATCCTAGCATTTCCTACCACGATATGCAGACGAGCACTCGTCAGGAACAGTTGATAGAACCGCGCATCACCATTCATCAATTTGTGCGTCCCCCGCTCTAATTCGCGTGCATCTTGGTTGCAGGGCGCTTCTGATGCAATGCCAACACACGGAAGCAATTACGGGCCAACGCCGCCGCAGGCAGCATCGGCGGGACCGGGGAGAGGCCCCCTGCTGGGGCTGGTGATGTCACCGCTTGCCCTGAGGAAGGGGAGGCGAAGGACAAGGTCTAATCCCGCGGATCGGTTTGGTTTACTCCAGAACCACCATTGCCGTTCCCCTTGCGGCGTTTCTGATCGGAATGTCCAAGGGTTCGAGTCTCGATAGAGGCAGATTTTCGTTGTTAGTTCTAATTTCGCTTCTGCCTGAAGGACAACTACAGTGGCCGGCTGTTGTGCTCGAGAGTTTTTCGTGGTTTCTCCGATCGATTCCGGCGAATGCGAGAGCAGAACCCTGACAAACGGGCCACGAACCGCGCGCGATCATTTCTTCTTCCAACTTTTCCCCTTACACACACCCACACACACTTACATGCACTACACTACCGCACAGGACGGGAGAGCAGTCGAGAGTTTAGAGCTTGGCCGGAGCTGCGAGGAGAGACCTACACAAGGAAACACCCGCCAACCGACGGAGGGCTGAGTCAATCTCTCCGTCCACTGCGTGAGGAACACAGCCACCACCATGCATAAAACACTATTACAACGGGACTAATGGACACATCAGTTCATGTGTGCGGGAAAGACAATTAATAAATGAATATAATTTTGCGGAAAATGTTGCCGTCATTCTCGCAGTGCAGTCACCCCGTTATTAAGGCCAGTTCGCTCTCAGTCGGACTTCAGTCTAAATGTCTAGTTTTATCCGTCCAGTATCTGTGAAGTTATAGTAGTAACTATACTATTGATAGCGCTACGAGTCATCCTAATAAGTGGATCACAGGTAACCTAAATTAGTGAGTGCAGTGCATTCATCAATCAGCGAAGTTCGTAACCCTCGTACCCATGACCGCCGAAAACAATGTCATCACGCGGGAATTAATTAGTGCGCTCTTGACGTCATTCAACAGTGACGTGTCACCATCTTTATGGAACCACACACACTGCAGGTAAGTCCAGCAACTTTCAAATGGGTGCGATTCACACGCCCCCTACATCGTCACCGATGGAAACCTACCTCGCGACTCCGCCATCAAGCACCCCGGCAATCATCAACCTAGCGACCCTCGGAATGCTACAGAGATGTGCGTAGAAGGTGACAGAAAACGCTGTAACGCAAGGTAATACGTATTACAATATTAACAGAACCCTTCAGAAACTGTGCAATGTAAAAAAGGTTTCAGTAGATTTAGCTTTCTCAATGAATTCAGAATTATGTGAATCGTCTGAGGTTTCTGTTTTGGATTTACTGTATATTTTATTTTTAATTTCGCAAACGAGTTCGACATGATTGTGTGTAGCGGTAGCAAATAATTATTCGAAATTATTTTATTTTTAATTTCACAAATGAGTTCAGCGTGATTGCTTATGGCGGTAACAAATCATTATTCGTTACCGCCACAAGCAATCACTTTGAATTCATTTATGAAATTAAAAATAAAATATACAGTAAATTCAAAACAAAAAAATGTACAAACCAACAAAATTAATATTCTAGTCCGGTTCACACATGATTTCCGTTGTGCTGTAAAGTGTTTCATTGGAACTAACAAACAATTCCATACCCTCAGTCATCTCTCATGTAACACAATATCAATATTGGTAAAAAATGCTCACCAATGAATCACTGAAAAAGAAGAATAAATATTCCAGTTTCAGTCAGTTATCAAAGTAATTGAACTAATGAAAGAATTTATACCCCCAGTTCAGTGGTAGCAGTAGTATTGA